GTCTAACATAATAATTATTATTTTCTCTCCTAATTTTGTCATTATTTCATTCTTTATATTAAACATAGTTAAATAATGACAATTTGTATTTTTTTATTTCTAGACTGGATAAACATGTTGTTTAGAAAGTTGTTTTTTAAAAGCAATCAAATTTTAAAAAAAAATTGCCAGAGTGTGTTTGCACTCACCATAAAGAGACAGAGATGTAGAGAGACAGGGAGAGGGAGAAAGCACCACCATGGAACGTGGTCATACTGCAATCCTTTCATTTCTTCATTCTGCCAGGATTTGGGGTGCACATGCACATGCTCCTGATATGTTTCCCAAGCTCTGGTCTGGAACTCAAACCACACAATTGGTCATGTGAGAGCCAAGTGCTCTAAATGGTAGACCACAGGCTGGCCTGCAATAGCATTTTAATATGTCCCTTTTGTCACTACTTATTTGAAATATTTTTGCCTTGGGTTTAGAATTTATAGTATTAAGAATTCCATTAGCTATTAAATATTTTCATCTAGATCTTACTAGATGAGGATTTCTAGGCCACCCAGTAAAGATGGACTTTCTTCATTAAGAAGCAAACCATCCAAGAAGTTTTAATGACTCTAGTTGGAACTTGACTGTGTGGAGAAGGAAGGCTTTCCTTTAACAAGAGCCAATGCCCCTGGAGATACTCAAACTCTGCTGCTTCCATTTAACTTTTCCTGTTGGTCTTACTCTCAAAGACTTCAGAATTACAAGATAATTAAGAACTTTCATGGATGATTTGAGAATTGGGTTGAGCTCGGTTATTGTTTTACTTACATTTATTTGACCAACCCAATAGCACTCTAGTTATAGAAAGTCCATGATGTGATCTCAGAAGAGTGATGCTGAAGTCTTGCTGCTGCCCATAGTGTAGCCAGGCTTGGGCAGATCACATAACCTCTCTTAGCTTCTGTTTCCTAATACACAAAACAAGACTAATTACTGTTGCCCTGCCTATCCTCTCAGTTTATCATATAGCTTAATACCATTATTTATATGAGAATGTTTGTAGACAGAAAACACTACAAGATTGTAAGTTACTTCCTCTTCTTTTTTTATTTTGGTTGTCTTACACACAGAAGTCCACCCTGGGGGTAGAGAAATTGTACAAAATGTTTTATTTTACAAGAGATACCCTTTAACACCAAGAATCTCAGCTTCCTCTTCAGTTTTAAATCTTAGATACATAGCATGTATAAGAGTACTTGCAGGAGCACAAACCTTCTCATTTATTTTCTAAGTATATGTGTTCATCTGCTAAAGTTTCTCAAGAAGCTTGATCAGGAGCTCTGTAGCCATCATTTCTGTTCTCACTTAGCCTTCCCGGCATTCCCAACCTCTTCTGCAGCCCATTGGCAGTGAAAAAAAGCCTTCTCCCAAAATTTGCATCTAGGGAAGTGGAATTTTTTGGATTAATAAGTGGTCTCTCTTCTAAGCCTATCCCCCATCATTTTTCACTAGGTCTTTCTAGTTTTAGGGCTAAGATTTAAAAAAAATCAATGCAAATAGTGGCTAATACTTTAGATTTCAGAATCCTGTGGAAATGTGGGCAAATTTCTTTGCCTTCTTGAACTTTATTTGCCTCATCTGCAAAATAATAACAGCATTTAATTGTAGGGTTGTTGTCAAATAAATGATACCAAGCATGAGAGAAGTGACACAGAGTAGTATGTAACACAATACTTACTTGCCTGCATGTGTGAAATTAGAATTTATTTTTGACATCTGACTATTATGTTTTATTTACTGTCATTTTCAATAATTTCTCTCTGTTGCTCACTCAGCTGCCTCAGTCTGTTTGCACACTCTCTCCTTTTCTTTTTGCTCTGGTTAAAAACAAGAATGGTTTTGCTTCACTTCTGGTACATACAATTGTAAGTCAACTTAGTATAACAAAATGGACATTGAACTAAAAGTTATGAAAAGTTCTTTTACTGTTTGCTCTCTCCTTTAAATCAAAAGAACAAGATGTAAACTACTTTTTTTATGTCATCTTCTATGCTGCCAGCTTCTTGGTGCCTCAGAAAACATGAAAGACCTGATTTACAATCACGTTAGGCAAATTGCCTGTAGAATTCTAAGGACAGGAAATGAAAAAAAAAAAAAAAAGTACAGCGTACATCTCCGGACATTCCACACAACACGTAGAATAAATAAACAGGCCCTAACGGAAACCAAAAGCTCTTGATCTTACATTGAAGAGGTACTAAGAATGGCCTTTGGGAGAGGGCATACACCAAAGATGCCATGCTGGAAAAATCCTTCAAGACAAGTGACATTGACCTTGATCCAAAAGAATCCCTGTTCCTTTTTGTATAAAGAAGCATCATTGAGTCCTTTGAATTTAGATCAATTCTGTTATCTGCCCTGATATTATGAAAAATTATGATCATGTTATAAATCTGTGTTTCTCAACACTTTCCAAGAATATGACTCCCTGTGGGATTTCATTGGGATATAGCTAACATTCAAGAAATCTGCTCAGGGCCTGAGATTCTGCATTCCTAACAAGCTCTGATGTTCCACAGATACTGCTGGTGCATGGGCCATAGTTGGTTCTCATCTAAATAATTGATGATATTATTTTAGTCTTTATCTGTTAAAGAGTGGTTAACAGTAGAGGGGACTTTTGGTCCTACGGGAACATGGTAGGAGACATTTTTGATCATCACAACTCCTGGAATGCTACTGATTACATGAGTAGGAGCCAGAGATGCAGTTAAGCACTCTGCAATGGATAAAATAGCCCTTCATAACAAAGGCTTCTGACCAAAAGTGTCAGTCGTGCCAAAACTGAGAAACTCTATTGTAAAAGTAGTCATTAGTTTTTATTTTTTTATATCAAAAATAGTCTGTTGAAATTGTTTAAAAACAAGTAAAACCTAGGAGGGAAGGGTAGGTGCAAGTGCTATTTAGTTTGGAGTAAAGCGAGTAGTGTTTAAAATTGTCTTCAAATAAGTGAAAGACTATTACGCAGAAGATGGTAAACAGCTGTTCCGCATCACCCTGAACGACTCAACAGGAAATGGACATAAAAGGATTTGTGCTATCCATCTATTCTTCTACTGCCTCTTTCAAGCCAGCCAGGCAAATCTCTTCAAGATCTTGTAACCATATTTGTCCTGTCCTGTGTCATATGATTTGCAGAGAACTTCCCAAATCCTAGGTACACATTTCCTTTTCACTGCCAACTCTCATCTCCTCCTCCACTTAAAATACTAGCTTGAAAATTCCTATCTCCTCCAAATCTTCCTTAACTGAGATGAAACCGTTGCCAGTTCATCTCTAACCACAACTGTCCCACTTTTGCCTTTAATGTGTAATCTCTCAGTCTCCACAGAAGTTACTGTTCATCTATATACAAAAAGCTGCGCTAGATTTTAAGAAGAGATAAGAGAGATTAGTAGGAGAGTCTCTGTTTTTAAGGATTTCCAATCTGGAGAGGTAGATCTTAAACAGATAACTTCAATGTAGATAGCATTGAATAATTTTCTCCACAAGAGAGTGCTTAGAAAATAAAAGAGGAGGTTTGGGCAGTTAGATTACTTCTTGGTGGGGGAGATTCAAGAAGAATTTATAAACAGATCCATAAGTATCTTTGCTTGTTTGTTTCCTTGAAAAACAAGTTTTCTCTAAATTATATTATAGTCTTATGCATCAAATAAGTACCTGATACTTTTACCAAAACTTGGAAACAGTAAGTAAGGGTAGTCTGGATTTAAAGCATATTTATTAAAAAAAAAAAATTGTAGTGAGTGAAGGATGAGATTGGTATTATTAAATCTGCTCAGAATCTATAAGACTAGAACAAAGAACTTTTCAGGCTCTGTTAGGTTATATTATAATTTAGTAAAGGAAACTGAATTTAAACACCTCTGAATGTGCCATCTAATGCTCTATGATTTTATAGGGCATTTTCCTTGACGAAGATTTCTTAGCTACACTGAGAAGAGGAGTATTTGAAACTTCACAAACCCAGTACCAAAGAAGGACTTTCCCTTAATCTGTTTGAATAGATGTTTCCAGAACCCTGTTAAGAAAAAGTCTCACTTTGTGTTTCTACTACCTGGAGGAGGGTGGAATGGAAGAGAATTAATGCTCACTGAATTGTAGAATGTGCATTAAGTAAACTTTTAAAATATATCTTATGTATTCTGGTCAGTGACCTGTGAGGTTATCATTGCCAACATTCTATGGAGGTTTCAGTGTTTTAGTTTCAGTTTCCCCCCAACTTCTGGATTAAGGAAGGAAAGCAGAGCAAGTGTCTGCTCTGCATCAAAGACACTATTCCTGGATGGAGACCATCAGCTTGCCTTTGCCTTCGCAAGCACCTAGAAGAAAGCTTATACTCTTAAGACTTTAGTGATACTTGCATTGAACTAGGAAAGGGTGGATCAGGCAGTGACACAGTAGGCTGACCTTCACAAGAATGTTCTGGGTTCACATCTGGAGACTTCCCCGAGTACACCAGGCATGCACGTGGCCATGATCAAGGCCTGGCTATCTGGGAGTGGAGGAGGGTATCAAGATCATGTTAGAGGTACTCTGTTCATCTCTCTTTCCTCTTTCTCTCTCTATCTCTCAATCTTGCTTCCTGTGTTTCTCTCACTGATTAAAAAAATAAATATATAAGCTTAGAAGAAAACAAAATGGGAAAATGAAGCAGTTTCTATTTCATTGGTTTGCTGTAGGTGTCGCTACTAGAAAACTATGTTCCATAGCCCTGGGAATGGTACAGCTACTACATGGGTGTGAAATTTCCTTTGAACATTAATATTTGTATTCTTTAAAGCCATTATGTTGGTTTTCAGTCAGTAGTAGTCATAGATCTTCCTTGAGGTCCTCATTCTTTGAGCTTCGTTGCTCTTTCTAATAAAATCATATCTTTCAATGGTAACCTTAAGAATGTCTTCAAAACACAATGGAGTCTTAGTTAAATTTTTGGTAACAGGACTTTGTTTTCCCTCCTCAAGTTGTTCTAGGCTTCTGTGTATCATTCAACGTTGACGTGAAAAATTCAATGACTTTCAGCGGCCCAGTGGAGGACATGTTTGGATATACCGTTCAACAGTATGAAAATGAAGAGGGAAAATGGTAAGTCCTTGAGTTTTGTTGTTGATTTATTTTACAAAATAATGAAAATGAGTATTTGGTTACAGTTGGTTTTATGAATGAAACTCCAGCAGAGTGAATCGTTAATGGTAGAAAATGCAGTCTAATCATTTAGTAATGGAAACTGACTTAAAGTTAAAAAAAAAAAATTCTTGGCAGTATTACAAGAAGTGGTTGGTGATTTCTGTTGAAGCTTGGGTTGACTTCAAGGAAGGTCCTTATCCAAAGTAGTTATTGTTTAGATATTATGTTACTGTGATATGAGCTCCTTAATTCTTCTCAGTTTAGAGTAGCTTGAATACACTGGACTGAAACAGTAGGAAGGAATGGGAGGCAGAGGAGATGCTGCTTCGAAAGGTTAATGTTACTTTAAGCTTAGATTTTTGATGAATTACTGATCAACTAACTTTAGTGTAATGTCTATATTTAATCTTACTGGATTTTTCTTATGCACTTTTAAACCTTTTGATATTAAGTTCATTTTAGATATGGTTTTGAAGCATAATCTGTTGAAAATTACTCAAAATGAATATTAGTGCTCTTCTGTGTAATATTTAATATAATTATAAGTAAATATATTTTAAAATTGGACATTGTAGGAAAAAATAATAGGAGTTTAATTTTGCTTCAATCCAATGAACTAAACAAGATATTTTTTAAGTAATTGTAATAATAAGAGAGATTTTTATCTACTTGGATAACAGTGATCTATGAGTCTACTACAGTTATTTCACAGATGTAAATATGTGACTTTTCTGTGTTTCATTTTGATTTTTAGACTTGGCTAATTTTATAATAATCCCCTAAAGACTATCAAAAGTAATTATTTGCATTCTCACATTTTCCAACTATAGATGTTGTATGTTAGGGGCAAACTAGAATTGTGAGCTTTATTCACTCTTCTACTCACCCTACAGATATCTCAGATAAAAAATCTAATAATATACTGAGTTTTTATATCTGTCCTTCCACCCATACACTCCATTGCCACACCCTCTACCTCCTCTCCTGCCGCAGGTTTCAAGGTTCAATGAGTAAAGTCGTCCCCTTGGACACCAATTTTATTCTTTTAGAACTTATACCTGCAATTCAGGGAGCTCTGCCTCAATGGCGAGTGCACCAACTGGTCAGGTTCATCTCTGTGCATCAGCTGTGATAAACTAAAACTCAGTGTGTATTTTTCTTAAAAAGCTTAACATTGGGACCAGCAGTTAGTGTAAAGGCTATGTTGCTGAAGCTCCCATATAGTCGACCATGGGTTAAGTCCTGGACCCAGTGACTTAAACTCACGCCGGGCGCATGTGCGTGCATGCTCAAGATCCCGAGAGGAGAATGGAGGAGAATGGAGGAGAAGGGATTGCAGTGTGGCCATCCCCCCAGGGGGTGATTTCTCGCTTTCTGTCTCTCTGTCTCTCTCTGTCTTTCTGGCGAGCGCACGTGCCCTATAGCAAAAACCTCTCAAAAAAAAAAAAAAGCTTAAATTTCACATAAAAGCATACAAAAGTTATTTTTCATTAATTACTACTATTTACATAAATTACCTACTTAAAGTGTCTTTATAACAGATAGTCAAATATTGTGAATTTTTTTTAGAGAGGTTTTTGTCATAGGGCGCATACACTTTCTAGAGAGACAGAGTGAGACAGAGAGATAGAAAGCAAGAAATCACTCCCCAGGGGGTCTGGCCATGCTGCAATTCCTTCTCCTCCATTCTCCTCTCAGGATCTTAGGCACACACGCACACGCACACACACACACACACACACACACACACCTCGCATGAGTTTGAAGCCACTGGGTCTGGGACTCGAATTGTGGTTGACTATGTGGGAGTTCAGCAATGTAAACATTATGCCATCTGGTGCCTATTATAAAAATATTTTATAAAAAAATTTTTTAATGATATGAGGAACACCTGTAAGTTTCCTCTCCCAGCTAGACCAGTCTCTGGGATTTTAGAGTGATCTGATGTCGGACAGCATTAATTATCTGCACGAACCTTAGTAGAGTAGAAAGAGGTCCATATTTCTCTTCCAACCCTAGTGCTTAGCCTCTCATCTCTTCAGTCTCTTACTATAAGAGTCCATCATATTGTGAAATTTCCATTCTCCCAATTCTCTAATTGCTTTATTTCAAAGCAACCAACGGCAAAGGAATGAGAGACAGAAATCAGGTTTGAATTTCCTTCCCTGGTCATCCTGTCTTTGTAGAAGGTGAAAGTGTAGATGACAAAAAGGAAAATAGTCTGACCCACATTAGGGAAGAAAAAAGGGGGGCATTGATGGAATAGTAAGAAAAAGGCTGCGAAAAGATGTTGCTAATGTGTGTCTAAACAAACCTAACTGAACTGAACTTCAGGAAGCCCAGTCAGAATTCTATATACATTTGGAAGATGATGTTAAAAGCACTTTTAAAAACTTTTCAAGATCAGAAACCATGTCTTATATCTGTTGTACCCATGAAATATGGCTTAGTTGTCTGTACAAATGTTAACCTTGGTAGGTTAGTTTTTTCATTAGTCATAGCATAAATGTGGGTCAGTCAAGCAGCAGGGGTTTGTGTATTATGTCCTATGTGTCTGGCATTATGTTACATTCTGTAGGGAATTCAAATATAAGATAAAAATAAAGCCTTCTAATCTAGTAGGTGATATATATGAAATAATTAGGAATAAAGAAAAGTGCCAAGCAGAGGGAATAGATTATAAATTCATTGAAAGCTCAAACAAAGAAGAGATTATTCTTGATTCTTAAGCTGAGTCTGAAATGATGACTTACCTTTTATTAAGAGAAGAAATGCCATTCCAAGCTGAAAGTCACACGAGCAAGGGCACAGACTTGAGAATAGGTGAATGTGTTGTCAAGTACTCAGATCTTACATTGGGATGCAGGGGGAAGATGGATAGTGCCAGACCCTAAAAGTCAAACAAAAAAAGCTTGGGCCTAGAAAAGGGGTATTTGAGAAGGCACTGGAAATTTTTTTGTATTAAATTTCATTTTAAAAATTATATACATACTAGATTGGAAAAAATAATACCTGAAAGCCAGGAAATCTACAGGCAAGCTAGAACGGCAATCTAGTGTTTAAAGGATAAGGTCCCAAGCTAGATTAGGAGCAACTAGATTAGGTGTATCCAAAGTAAATTTAAATAAATTATTAAGTCTCAGTGGAAGTTTGGAAATGGCAAATGAATGTTTAAGAGGTGTGTAACAAATTCCAGTTTCTGATCTGGATCCTTAGGAATTGGGTATCAGGGGTTGGTAAGTCTATTTTTAAATGACATTCAAGCTGGTGTGTAAGTAGTTGGAAGCCTCAAACCGGAATACAGATAAGAAGGAAAAGTCAATGTGTTAGAGAAGATGCCTAGAGAGCAAGGACTGGTTAGGTGCCCACTTGCAACCCCGAGCACTGCCCTGTTCCAAGCCCTGGTCCTTAAACATAAGATGTACCAAGGGTTATTTTTATTTATTTATTTATTTATTTATTTATTTATTTATTTTTGCCTGGACAACTGAATCCCTGTTACCATCAATGAAAATGCAGCCACACGAATAATAGCTAGAAGTGACTCTTCTAGGGAAATCCAGCTACCTAGGCTCAGAGCTGATGACAGGAAGTCTATCCTCACTCAGTTTTACACCTTTTTTTTGTTTGTTTAAATTAGAACCATATTAAAAAGTAAATGTTGAGACTGGCTATCTTTGTGGTTAAGTACCAAACTTTACTATTTATATATGTGTAAGAGTTTATGAACATTAGAATTTATGTTAAGTTCCTTCTTCAGATTCCTTTTTATGATGACTTTACAGAAAAGTTGTGAAAAATCAGAGCAACCAAAAAGATGTGACCAAGTGAATTAACAATAAGAAAATTACAAATAACTAAATTATCCATTACATCTTGTTAAGGATATCATGAATAGTAGCATATTATTGTTTTGTTTTTATTTTTGTTTTTTTAGAGGTTTTTGCTATAGGGCACGTGCACTTGCCAGACAGAGAGAGACAGAGAGACAGAAAGCGAGAAATCACCCCCCAGGGTGGCCACACTGCAATCCCTTCTCCTCCATTCTCCTCTCAGGATCTTGGGCACGCATGCACATGTGCCCGGCGTGAGTTTAAGCCAGGTCCAGGACTCAAACCGCGGTCGACTACGTGGGAGTCCATTACTCTAACTGCTGGTCCAATAGTAGCATATTGTTCTGAAGAGACCCAAGCACTGATAAGGCAACATAAATTGTAGAAACATGTTTGCATATTCTATGTTTATAAAGTCAGAGAGAATGCAGAGTTACATTGAGAATAATTGAAAATATGTTGGGGAACATGGATTTTATTATTTAATTTTCTTCAGAGATGGTCACCTTAGTAAATTATGTTTACTGCTCATGTTTTGGAAGTTCATCTGCCTCAGACTTTAAGAAGAAAGAAAAGAAAGAGAGAGAGAAATAGAGAGAGAGAGGAGAGAGAGAGAAAGAGGAAGAAAGGAAGGAAGGAAGGAAGGAAGGAAGGAAGGAAGGAAGGAAGGCAGGCAGGCAGGCAGGCAGGCAAACAGAAAGAAAGAAAGAACATCCTAACCCACTCTACACCATGACTATAGAATACCTAAAGGATTCCTCACTGACTCATTGCAAGTGCAGTTTATGTATTTGGGAAATATTGCTTTAATTTTTTTGGAAGTATTACAAGTTAACAGGAAAGGTAGCTTTACCTTTCAGAAGGATGTATCGTGAAGTATAACACGCTTTGTATCTTCGGCTAGGAAACCGCATGTTTTCTCAGTAGCAGAACGTGTTATGCCTCTGGTTAATACCAGCCACTGCTCATTATGGCTAGCGTGTGCTGGAGCATCCCAGTGACTGCAATGCGGCACAGAACAGTTCACAAAGAACATAACTGGCTTCATAATTTTGCTTTGAAGAGAAGAAACTTAAACAAGCTCACCATTGCTAACACCTTCCAGATTTCCACATTCGGTGGTGA